GCGTGCCTTCGCGCGCTCCCCATCGCTGCTGCCATCTTCCCGCGCGTCCACGCCGTTGCCCGCGTCGCCGGTACTGGCGGACCCATCGCGCGCCTCATCCCAACTGGCCAACCCTTGCGCGTCCCGACCATTCACGTGGTTGCTGCGCACGCCAGTCATCTCACCATCATTGTGCCCCGCGGTCTTGCCTACTTCCTCGCCCACAGTCGTCTGCCCGCTACCGGCTTCCTCATACGCGTGCGCTGTCTCTACGCAACCCGCGCACCCCGTCCCTTTGCTGCCAAACGCTAACACATCCCAATCAATCTCCGTGGCCTGACCCTCCGACCTTATGCGCGCATCAGGGCACGATGCGCGTTCCTTGCTCGTGCTCGCACCCTCGTCGCCAACCGACTCCGGCTGCTCGTTCGATGGCCATGGGTCCCATCCCTTCAACCTCACACAATCATCCGCCGGTATCCACCAACCATTCTTTTCCCATCGCAACCCTCGCCTTTTAGCCTCCTTCCTTTGAGCTTGTCTTTTCTTTGCATAAGGTTTACACCTACATTGACTTGCTTTTCGGGCCCTTGCCTTGCGTTGTCTCTTGGTCGTCCGTTTCCTTACCATCGACTTGAGCTTTGGCCCACAACCTTTTGGCCAATCTTGTGCATATGATGGCCGGTAAATAGGACTAGATGGCGCCTCCAACATATTTTCCAACCAAATATCAAGATCATCGCCATCATCATTGTCGGATTCACCGGGGTTGATGACCACTTCCGTATCATTCCCCTCCTCTTTGAGACTTTCCTTGTCCTCAAGGATTAGAAAATTAAGCTCTCCTTCCCCTTCATTGTTCTCAACCACCATCGCTTCTCGGGCTTCCATGAGTTGTCGTTCATACTCCTCTATATTTCTCCGCTCATGAAGCTCGTCAAGATATGTTGCTTCCCATGGTGTGAGCTCTCTTTCCAAACCCTCCAACATCTCAAGATCTTCCCAATCTAACTCATCCATTGGTGGGTAAGACATAATTTTTTTTTTTTTAAGACTCTTTTTCGAAAAAATAAAGGGAAATTTCGAACAAAATTCGAACCCCAGCAAAAATAAAGAGAAATTCGGTTCCCTCACCAAAAGGCAAAACCGAAAAAAATAAAATGATAAGATAGACAAAATATCGATCAGCACCTCTCAATGAAAGCACCAATGATGACGG